CACTTCCAAGCCCAATCCAGCACTGACACAAGATCCACACCGACTCGCTACGACACCGACCAGGTCGTAAATAACGAATACCTCTGTCACGTCTCTATTACAGAGAAAAAAGTGTTCGAGAAACTATCTAGGCTACGTCCGGGCAAGTCCCCTGGCTGCGATAACCTAAAACCAGTGGTTCTGAAAAACTGCGCCGAGGTGCTTACCAAACCACTTCGCAACCTTTTTGAGCACTCAATAGACTCGTGCAAACTCCCTAAAGAATGGAAGAGCCCATCTTGTCACCCATCTTCAAAGGAGGAGACAGAAAAAGCCCTGGCAGCTACAGGCCAATTGCTCTACTCCCTATTGTGTCGAAAGTGTTGGAAAGCCTGGTAGCTGACACCATCTGGGAATTCCTCAATGGGAAAACACTGTCCATACTGCTCAGCATGGCTTTCGGAATGGTCGCTCATGTGCCACCAACTTACTAACCGCCTGGGACGACTGGACACAAAGCTGGGATAACAGAAAACCGGTACATGTTGTATTTCTCGACCTAGCCAAAGCATTTGACAGTGTCCCACCCACAGTACTGCTTCACAAGATCATGTCAGCTGGTATAAGTGGACCCCTACTCTCTTGGTTCAAGGAGTACCTGGAAGGGAGGCAGTTCTGCACTAAAGTGAACAGAATAAGGTCGGAGTGGAGACCCTCGACGTCAGGAGTATCCCAAGGAGCAATCCTAGGACCGCTTCTGTTCCTCCTGTTTGTCAACGATCTGCCAGACAAAATATCCTCACCCATCCTCCTCTTCGCTGACGACATAAAAATTTGGAGGGTGGTAAACGAAGAAGCTGATTGTACAGCACTACAAAAGGACTTGCAGCAACTCGAGCTCTGGTCGTCGGAAAATGGCCTGAGCTTCAACCTGGAAAAGTGCAAAGTAATGCACATCAGTAAAAATGAGGCAAGTACGACCGACTTCCAGTACATGTTGAGCAACCGTGCTATCACCAGAGTGTCCATGGAGAAAGATTTGGGGCTCAACTTCTCCGACACCTTGGACACCAGCTCCAACTACAAAGGTATGACAACCAGAGCGAACGCCATTCTACACTTTCTGCGTAGACAGCTTGGCGCCCTCACTCCCGAACTCTTCCTCACCATTTTCAAATCCTACGTGCGGCCGCATCTAGAGGTCTTCAATACGGTGGCTCCTCCAACACTCAAGAGAGACTCTAATCTCCTTGAAAGAATACAAAGAACTGCAACAAAATCAGTTTTGGGGCTAAGGGGAAAGACGTATCCTGAAAGACTTAAACACCTAAACCTATTTACCTTGGGTTATCGCAGGAAAAGGGGTGACCTCATTATGGCATACAAGATCGCCCATCAGGCAGACCATGCAAACAAATCAATTTTGCCTGCAACTCAACGATCTTCACGAGGAAACCCCATTAAGATAGCACACCAGAGAGCCAACACCATACTCAGGTCCAAATTTTTCTCCCTAAGAGTATGTGCTTTATGGAATGCCTTACCGCGACATATCGTTACAGCTCCCTCAGTCGACTCATTCAAGAGACGGTTAGTCAGTTATGCCACCCCACATGGACTACCATGGACGTACTCAGATAGTCACCAACCTCACTAGCCCCCAACTCCCTCCTAACTACCACTCACTATCTCCCACCTTAATACACCCACATTACCTATTAATTCTTCTGTAGGAACTAAGCACACGCTATCATTTGGTCGATCCCTGCATACTTTTCTCTCTTTTTCACCCCTCCCATTCTTCTCCTTCACTTTTCCCCCATTGTTATTATTTTTTCTTTCTTCCCTTTTTTGTATTCTTTCTTCACTCTTTTACAATTACCTTACCATTCTCTTTCAGGTCCCTACACAGACAGGAGTCACGGCAGTTCCCTAAACTTCCCAGCAACCCGTAGCTCCCCAATCACTCTACAAATTACAACTTACTAACCCACAAAACATCCACCTCACCGAAGCTGAAAGCAAGAGAGCAGAGGGGATTTCCTCATCCACTGCAGGAGTGAACCGAACAACAAGAACCAAGCCCTAAGAACTAGACGTGAGAGATGAAAAACTACCGGTTTTTCACGCTCGCACTATCAATATTGGGTATTGAAACACGTAAGTACAAGATGGAAAGGGCTCACCAGCTTGGAAACTGAGTTTTGTGCTAGCCCAACAGACTCAAAAGGGCCGGTGGCCAACTATTCGTACTTGTTACATACTCACTAGCGCGAGTCTAAGAAATAACACAAATGAATAACTGCATGAAATAGTATACTTGAAAGCCATACCAAAAGACCTTTGTGTTCTGGCTAACCGGCCAGAGAATCGAGTTCGAGCAAAGCGATGCGACCCAGTAACTTGCCTAACGGCGTCGATGCTTGACCGCCAGCCTTCAGGTTAGCGAGTTCATCAAAACCATAAAGGTCAGGATCACCGCAGAATTTCGTTGAAGACCGTGCTACTGACTTCTGGGGATTATTCACCTCTGTAACTCCACGAACTTCCTTCCCCAGCCTCCTTGAAACTCACGGCCTGACCACTACTTTACTGATCAGGCGTTACCACGTCACACGACCTACTCTGTTGAGGAAAATGTGACTAATCACCTGAAGCCCTCTACATTTAATAGCTATACTCCAAAGCTATGTTAGAACAGAAAAACTGCAGTGTAGCAGTCTCGATCCTCAGAGGGCAATCGAATATCATGCCTACATCAAGATCGGTAAGTTAGCGAAGACCTACAAGCCCTCTGTATACGTGCAAGGATTCCGTGGGTCGTCGACTCACCAGTCTGGTCCACCTTCAACACACTCGACCACTTCGCCCCCTGTTTTTAGACAGGCACCACCATGGGCCCCTCCTAGAACGACAGTTTTTGTTTGGAAGACGAGAAATGCACCCCAAGTATTCTCAAGTTGCCACCGCATGCATCAGAAACTTTCTGGGTTTCTTCGTGGTCTACACTTTATGAGGCCGTCATGTGTATTCCCTAGAACTGCCGAGGATTTTCAGGTGATTAGAACGACGCCCGTTAAGTCAGATGAAGAGAAGGGGATATCCATGTATCTCTCATCGTAAGGCTGAAATGCAGCATTCAGGAGTCGGTGTATTCGGGGGCTTCTTACCAGTACAGCAGCGTAAACCCTGAGCATCACTAGTGGATTTCATCAGGTGGAAAGTATACCGAATGTATTCAGCTTGTGCTGTGGCCTTGAATGTCACAGTACTATCAGCAGAAGCTGAAATAACCTAGCGATCTGAAGCATGTCAAGTAACTTAGGCTGGTAAAATGAAGAGTTTCTCAAACATCTTTACCCCATGAGTTCCATCTGTTTGCAGTTCGTTAGTTAAATGGTGACAATGCCTCATTTGTCACAAGACAAAAAAGGGGAACAATACTTCGAAGTTAACCAGATTGGTAACAAGTTAAGAAGAGACTCCGGTTTGTGAATTCAGTTTCCTACGCTTCGAGCAAGCGTCAAAATTTTCGCTAAAATTCAAACACGCTGAACTCTTGACAGTTTACTTAACCACTGCCGATGGTTAAAACATCGTGATGAGTCACATCATTTCCCTTATAGGCAGGGGGAAGCTAATGTTTTATTTTCAGAACATGAGACGTCAATTATGTGAGGTAAAACAATGCACAGTGCTGCCAGACTGTTTCATAGCTGCTGACAACGTGGTGCTGCTCACCGGCTGGCCTGCGAGAAATGAAATACTGATTCTACCACATCAGCAGGGAAGCAGATACAATGAAGAAAACTCTGTCGGAAGAGATGTGGGTGAAACCTTTTAAGCCCGCAACTACTCTGGGGTGATTGGGCTGCTGTTTTCTTGTCAATTTATGCATCTCATTGTTCGTACGTAATATACGATAGTGAATCTGTGAAAATTACAGAAAGATTTCATATTCATTCCTCACTCTCTTGATCCTCGATGCCTCGTATTACTAGCCATGGAGATGTGGTTCTTTGCGAAGGAGACGGTGAAGACTGCCGGTCGGCAGATTTAGGTGACGACTCAATTTAATCGGCTCTTATCTGCGGGATAGCATCGTCAGATAACACCGAAATTGTAATTGGGTGATTGCAAAGGTCACCACTTCCTGTGCTCAAACCTGAATTCTAACCTGAAAACTTTGTGTCAGATTCATACTCTTGGAAAGGATCTTCCCAGCAAAGTCGAAACGTTGAAGAATAATGCGAAATATTTGTTTGTTATTAATTCCAACATACTACGACGGGATTACACAAGTAGGAATACACCTTATGCTACAAAAATAAATAGTGTTTGTCGCACTGTCATAGCTGCTGTTAAGCCCCTGTGGCACGCTTTTAAGGAACTCATCACCATTAGTGTGCTTCCTTACATTTAGAAAGCTATCATCATGACTATACGTCTTTCAACCAATGCAGGTTTTATGCTGCAAAACAACTCGATAATCAGGAAGCTTTAAATAAATCTCGATATAGTTTGAGGATCACCAAGAAATGATGGACACTGTTAAGACATCTGAGCGGATCTCGGATATTGGTTAACTTCTGTAAAGGAATGAGTAAGTGCGAGCCAGCAGATTGTATGAGAATGAATCTACTGGGAGGATGTTAGAGAGGTATATAAGCGACTTTATTGCTTTAACGTGTACATATGTATTTGAATCTGATTTCACTTTTACTTATGAGGTTTAGTAATCTAATAGCGCTGTACTATAGATGAGAGAAGAATATATGGGTCCTAACAATGATGCCTTCTCATTAGCTACATTCACTCTTTTATACAGTTCCACAGACTTGATCCGAACTTCAGTAGATAGTAAACCACAAATAAGGTGGAAATACAATCTACTAACCCTAAATACCTTTAAAACTGCAGATGCAATAAATTACGAACGAAATCATCGATGGTTTTCTATTAGGTAGGAAACTGTATCTGTGTCAGTGGCTTGTAAAACTTATTTGTATGATGCTATCGCCATGAATTTCCGCACTACCAAAGAAGAATCAGGTATTCACCCATCGCTTTCTTACTGTGCAACACTTTACATTACTGGTGGTCAAGATTTTAATTCTTTTATCATATTGAAGGTAGGCTTGTAGTTTTTACCGGCCGCTTTCACTTCGAAAACCAGAGCGATGCTGATCTAATTGGTGCCGACAATATGTTTACCAGATGCGCTCGTAATTTTAGGCTAAGGGATGACTTTGTACTGCTGTTATCTGACTCCACATGGGCCACACGAATACTATCAGCCCTATTATACTGCAGCTGGGATGTGTGTGCCAACCCTGACAAACAAAGTTCAAACCTTCCCGCTAATTCGTCCATACTAGTCTCTTTCCTGAACTTCAACCACAAAAGTAAAGTAGGTGATTTTACTACTCGTTCAATGATTTGAATTCACGTGGTTCCTTCTGTCTGTATCGTCAGGCACTTCCGCATGATGTTCAGCTTTTTATGTTTCGCCGTTTGTCACAATGCATCCCTTTTGGTGTTTTGCCGAAGCACCTTATTCACAAAGTCTTATAACTTACGTTGCTAATCTTGATATAGCAACTGCCTTATCTGCGGCTTGCGAATCTCAAGGAATCAGGCTTGAGCTTGAGCGTGGGGCGAAATTTGCAGTACTGTATTCATAAAACTGCTTTCCACCTTGTAAAAGAGGTTGAGCCAGTCAGCCTTGTCTAAAGGTAGGGCATTCTGTGGATGATCTGTACTTCTAACTTCTCTGACCAGCTGGAGTAGGAGCCTGAATATGAGCATCCTTGTTTTACTGCTCTTATAAATTCTGCTTATTCACAGTGTTTCATACTCTCCGGATAAAGATTGCGGTCACTGCTCAAAAATTCTTTGAATCTAGAGATGAAGCTATTCGTGGCAGCATGTGAGAGTGATCTAGAAAAGAGAGGTCCAAAAGCCCATTATAAATCTCTGTTAGTATTCATGACACTCCAGAGACAGAAACTACTTTCCATAACGTGTGCACTCAGCTACTTCTGTAAAACGATGGCTTAAACAATCAAATTTATCTATATCATAAAAGAATTTTACGAATTGTCGATGAGAATGTAACAAGAAACATTACGCTTCCAGTAACGATCCTTGACTAATAGTTTACTATCTTTATTCCAAGAGTCCGTCCTGCAGTCTGCTTTCTCTTCGTGTTCCCTCCTACTCGATATTTTAACACTAATTATCAGGGTTCTCCATACCACTTATATCCGAAGAATCCACCTGGCTCTCTACAACATTTCCGTTCCGCTTCCTTTCACCTAATAGTTTTTTGTTTCTTTTTCTTCGCATTTCCTCCCCCATGACTTCTCTGGTTTTCCTTTCCATCTTCTTTTAATCATCGGTCCAACCAAGCGCCCTGTTGCTCGACTTTTGAGAAACCTCTCTTCACTACCTCAAAAATAGGCATTGAATATCGGATATTGTAAGAGCGCCTGATACATAGGTGTTTGGTACTCTTACTTGTTGCCGCGTTCAGTGGTATGTATGCTACAAAGTGGTTTTTCTTTACTTACTATTATTTTCGGGATATATTTTGAAAATCAACAAACATTTTTATATTTCATAGACTTTTTAGATGTGCAGTTATGTATCGGTAGGACTGTCTGAACTAACAGCGTACAAATATCCCGACTAATCGTGAGCATTTTGTTGATTATCAGCAACATGTTTTTAGCATCTGCAGAGCTGTATGAAACTCGTAGTAAATTTGGCATAGGGTATCTCTATTCTTCGTAATTTTGATAGATGCGTTTCTATACATTGCCAATTCAGTGGATAAACTACGCTAGTAAGTCTAATAACAGTTTTAGGGAAATAATCTATGCGTGTACAGACAATAGACAGCAGTCTACAGCCTAGAACGAAACTGCATCAATTTAATTTCAACACTTCTGAAGCATATGAATAGCCAGTTGGTGACAGTTTTTGGAAGTAAATGTCGATTGGGTTTGAGAGATTCAGTAGGAGAGCAGATAAAAAGCGCGAGGCACTCAGGTTTGAGCGAAGATGAGATAATATGTCTAAACCAGTGTTATATTAATAATACCATGTACCTTAGAACATGCTATGTTAAACTCTGGTAATTAGATAACATATACGTCCCATACTTACACTTAATTGTAGTAGGATCTCATCCTGTCTTGATTACAACATCTTTAAATTTCTTCTGGCACATTTTTGTGTTTGTGGGTAGTTAGAAGTCTGAGTTACGCAGCACGTGTTACAACTACTTCGTTAACAGGTTCGTTGGTCGCTTTTCATTGGGCGAAGAGTTTTGTTTAAATCTCTCCGATTATTATCTGTTAAGAAACTAAACAGTCTGTTTCTTGCAAAGTGCACTTTTCGTATTCATCAAAACTGCATGTTGTTAGTGTTAAGTGAAAAAAGCTCATGCTGCACCGATGAGTAAGTTTTCAGTCGAAATTTCGAGCTGTATTTATTTCAGGGTTAACTAGAGCTACTTCATGTTTCGATTTTTCGATAACTTCCTTATCAGATACTATAGTTGCAAATCTCTCACTATATATATATATATATATATATATATATATATATATCCTCGGAATGCACTCAGCAACCGTCTGCATATTCATGCAGTATGCGATGAGCCACATATTGTATAAAGATCAGTGATGCTACCTGACTGCCCAAAATTCAATAGATGGGGTGGATTTTAAATTTGGCCCACTAGTTGGAAGTCAACTTCCTAAACTAATGAACCGCAGCTCTATGTATTTAATACTCAACCCTCTGTTATTCGTTTGGGATCACTCACCCAATGCCATCTACCTACATAAATGACTCACAGAAGGACAAATTAACGTAGAGATTTGCACAAAAATTATCAGTTGCCACCTTTAACAGTATCACAGGAGTTTAGTTAAAAAATCGCGATATTAAAGTCTAGAAAATGTATAGCGAGAGGAGGTGGAGAGAATAAGTTAGATAGATGAAGTAAAATGTTAGATTTTTTTAAAAGTTCATAAACTGAGTGCATATGTGCCATCGTAACTTAGTTCAAGACACGCCATCGAGTTTCAAGCCACCAAATTCACTTCATTTAGAAGATTCTAGCGAAATAAACCAATCCTATTTGCATAGCTTAAGCACATCGAGGTCTTGTGGGGACTATAGTCTTGCCTTGGTGTGGTCATCTTTAGCTTTCCAGACTGATCCTACTTCTTGTAGCATCATGCGATGGGGAAGGCGATGAGTCTGCATGCCTGGAACATGTCTGAGTCATTTCAGTCGCTGAGTATTCACAATCTATTAAGCTAACTATGTTTGACTAGTGCTCTACATCTTATCCCTATACTGTTTATTTGGCGGTTCCATTACACGCAAATAATATTGCGGGCATACCTATGATCAAACACAAGTGGCTTCCTTTTGTTTTCTCCTTTGAAATGCCGTCTCAAGCACAAAGCAAGACAGATTTTGGCGCAGTATTCTTAAACGTGTAGTGGTGATCGCAACACCCCAGTCAAAGTTGTGTGCAAACCCAAAAAGTCCAGAACACATTTTTTAAGGTTTATTAACAAGTCTTTACTGTGAATAAGAATTACCTCTAGAATAATAACAATCAATACATTCAACTGTGTCGTCTCTGTTGCGGAAATCGCTGAATCAACTTTAAAGAAAACCGACAAGATCTAGACAAATAATCTACAAATAATGTACAGTCGAAATCCGGAGCTCATTTCTCAAACAAGAAGGAAGGCTAAAGAATTGAGATTAGTCCATACGCAAAATCAGACATACAAACGACCGATAAGAACTAAGGTTACAAGTGCGAAGAAGGATAGACAGGCACGGGGAATAAGACTCATAACAAATACAGAGGTGTTAACCGGACGTAAAAGGTATGTGGGTAGGGGAATTACATTGCAATCACAACCTTTGGTAGGAAGACAACAAAGATAAATAGCTATAACATATTCAACAAGTAAACTCATCTTTTGCTCAGTAGTCGGATTTCCTACTGGCAGTTAAAGATGACCTAGGTTGTCAAATTTCAAACCGACCACCTCTACATGAGCTCGCATTTTGTCACTATCACGTTCACTAACGCTATTTTAACAAATTGTCAACATTCCACCACATTGTATCCTGAAACTAGAAATCAGTGCAGACCAGTTGCGAAGCACTATCTTACAATCGGTATGTGTAAAACATGTGACAAACATACTCATACTTCCGTCTGAAGAGTTCAGATCCTGTATTTTCTCAGCATCTTTGCCTGCAGGATTATGTCGTCCACAGACTCCAAGACAACCATTACTTTACGGGTAATAAGTCAAACCCTAAGAAGTTAGAGGTATGTTAGATCACGTCGATACCCAGGTTAATTGAGAACCGTGGTAGCAAGCATCCTTGATGAACATTAGTTGTTATCGTCTACTCAGATGAAAGCTCTTTGTGAACCAATGCACAGTTACAGAATTTTGAGTAGACTCTTAACCAGTATTATGTGCTCATTTAGGACCTGATATCAGGTGTAAAATATCCTTCTCACCGTTGCTGATAGTTGGACGACTGATATCTACATCCCATTAAGCTTGAAATGGATGTTCAATGATTGAAAAATGACTGTTTCTTACGTTTCCACTGACTGTCTTTTCCTTACCAGTTTATGTGATAAGCCTAAGTAACCGGTGAGTATTATCTAGCACGAATGCTGTCTCCATCACCTTCGACACCGGCTACCTCTTGAGTTCTTTTGCGAGAACTCTCATTCAGTTTACTTTTAAGCTGCTTTCTTTCCTAATCATCATCTGAGCCAGTCGAAATCGCCCTGCTTGCAAAAATATGACGTAGAGTTCCACTAGTGTTACTAGCTTTTGACTATAAGTTACTTATTATTTGTAGCATTGTCTTTACAGTAGGTTCAGTAATATGCCAGGCGTTGTCCAAGTGAGAATTAGTGTCGTGTTTATATAAATGCCTAACTACCTTAAATATAGACTTAATTTATTCATCCACCTAAGCATACCGAAGTCTTACTGTCATTTGTTTCTCATGGCCATTAAAATGCAGACATCCAGGTACATGAACTAACACGCAATCTGGGTCCAAACATGTAACAGTTTGTAGCGACCATAAATTTGTTTCCAACTTTATATGGCTGTTGTATCAAAATATTTCTGCATCTTTATTTGGAAAGTCTGAGCAGAAAGTCATCCAAAACAATTGTTCGACTTTTTAGTCTTTATTGGTCCTGTTAACGTTGAAATGTAATACTGAGGGAAAAACTGTATTGCTTTGTTGGTAAAATTTTGTTATCCGCTTAACTTACCACACGAGTTAGTCTAATAAGACTAAACTCAATAACTGAGTAGACATCACGTATTGTCACGGGTACTGATCAAACTGTAAAGTCGAAATCTTATTTAGAAACCGGTATTACTATCTGGATAAGTGGTATTTGTTTTTTAGGGTATATTATAAGCTATCTTTAATTAAATGAGTTGAAAGCTTGTATTTTGGTTTTTGTTGCCATGCAAGTTGGCAATAAAATATGCGTAATAGCCTTTAGTATTTCTTATAGACTGATATTACGTTGATTTAATACGATCATTGGATGTAGCAAGTGGTTTTCCTGTCCTGGCATGAATGATGGTTAACACCGACGAACACTAACAGTTAACTAAAACAGACTGAAAACACTTGGTATTTATGGCAGTCACTATAACATTGATGAGAAAGCAAATAGGATGATTTAAATGATCTGGTTGTCAATAAACTGGAGCTATAGTTCGTTGGTTTAGGTGGTTGGCTTTCAAACCAATGGGTCACGGGTTCGAACCCTGCTCCACCTACCAAGGTTTACACATCCCAGTGGCTAGTAGCATTAGCCCTCACACAGTATGTATGGGTCATCGCCTACTGCATGTGTAAACAAGTGGCTGATGAGGGCATTTCAATTTCGATTCGGTTATCAATAAATCGATTAGTCGTAACAATGCTGAAGTTGAATAAATCTGCTCATAGGGGAAATTGATGAAACAAAATAATGAAACCATTAAAAATAAGGTTTTCTGGGAAAAAATTACATTTTTCAAAAGTAGTGTAAACACCATTAACTCACCTTGTTCATAAAAATGAAAATCTAACTAACTAATTATGCATATGCTTTTGAGCTAGGCTAGTGTTTGAGGGTAAATGATACTATGCAAATGCTTAAACGTCAGTTGTAAAGCTATGGTACCAATCCCAAAACTCCCTTCACTCACCGATCCTTCGTTAGTTAGATGGTACTACAGCTGTTACACAAGTGTGCATCACCAAGTACATAGACTGGCAGTTAGTTGCCTAGTTATTCGTTAAACTTCGGTAGGTACAGTCAGGCTTAGACTTTTTGTTGGCTAGTTGAAAGTTGCGTTTGTTAACCAAATGCGTCATCTCTACTTATCTTTTTCCGAGTAATCGATAAAACTATATGCATCCACAATCAGTTACAATTGTGCAAATGTGTGCAC